TTATAAGAAGATGCTCTGGAAGAAAGGCTAAGCCATCTCCAACTGACATCATCCAGTAAGTCTGGGGTAAGGAGACTCCAGAATTGTGCTATCGGACGTCAGAGGTTAAAAGTCAGAGTGTCTTAGGAAGAGAAATAAATCTCCTATACCAGTGATTGATGCAGTAAGGAGCCCCCTGAAAAGTCCACCAAAGTGGTCCACAAAGGGTCCCCAAATGCCAGAGTAAACCCAGATACAGCAGTCAGGTCAGACTCTGTCCTTGTTTTAATAAGGCCCTTCCCTTCCCCTGGTTCCAGAGACTGAGAAACAGGAGAAGGTGGGTCCTGCCTCCCACCAGACTGCAGGGCCCTCCTTGGCATTGAGGCCTGAGGGGCAGGGAAGAAAAAAGTGGTGATTAGCATTAGATGGTACATTTTACCCCCTGACAAGGTGGTTGTTTTAATACCCTAAAGTGATCAGGAAGTCACTCAGAAAACTGAGATGTCATCAAATTGTGGACATCTTGACGGTATCATCAGGGCATATCTGAAGGCAGCTGTAGGGAAAGAAAGAACGCTGTTTCCTGACGGCACCCTGCTGAGCCCCGCCTGGTAACGGACTGACAGCCACAGGCATCCGTCTCACAAGCCTGCTGAGTCAGGACAGCAGGTGTGCTAGCCCTGCTCTCAAAGAGAGGGAAACGACACTCAGGGAAGCCCAGCAGCTCATGTGTGGAGGCTCATCGGTTCAGACCAAGGCCCTGTGACTCCAGACGCAGTGACATCTCCACCGCACCACAGTGCCTGTGCGGGTGACGGCCGATGCGCCCACAGACCGGCTGAGCACAGGCCTAGAATCACGCGTGGAGGGGGCATGGGAGCAGAGTTGAGGCTCATGTCTCCCGTCTTCTCTACTTCAAAGAGGGTGCCCTAGGGGGGTCACCAGCTGAGGACTCCCTCGCCTCTTGCTTCCCTTATGCTGACGGAAGCAGCACTCCCTTCAGCCACAGAGAGCTTTGGTACCCAGGGCTGAGGGCACTGGCCACGCCTCTCCCAAGGGCTGGCCCTTGACAAGATTTATGACAGCTTCCTGTCCTCACCACGAGCTCCAGGAACCAGCCAACAAGGCTCCTTCCACCTCCGCAGAAAAGGAACAAGTATATTCACAGTTTAGACTTCTACGCATCTAGCTGAAGAGGAGAGAAAACTTGCATTTTTTTTTTGAGTGCACACAAATGAGTGATTTCACCAGGAGACACAAGAACAAACAAAACAAAACCAAACCACCAACTCTGCCTTCCAAGCAGGTTCCTACCTCAGCATGGCACCGAGTCCCTTCCTCTTTATTTTCCTTTCTGGGTCTTCGTTTCCCTCTTTCTGCTTCTTCTCCTTGCCTTTCAGTTTGCCCTTTTCCTTCTTCTTCTCCTTCTCTTTCGTTTTTTTGCCTTTCCTGGCTTTATTTTCCACATTCTCCAGCTCAGCGTTCCCCTGAGGGGCAGATTCACAATTCAGAGCTCCTTGGTCAGAGTGAGAGCTCTTATCAGACAGACCGTCTGTACAGAGAAGAAAAAAATCAATACACACGGTCAGGGGCCCTTACTGTTAGTATCTCAAGAAAAGCTGAAATGAAACAACAAGGTCCTACTGTTTAGTACGGGGAACTATACTCAGTATTTTATAATAACCTAAAATGACAAAGAATATGAAAAAGGATATAAATGCACATGTATAACTGAGTCAGTGTGCTGTACACCAGACACTAACACAACACTGTAAATCAATTATACTTCAATTTTAAAAAAAAGTAAGAAAAGTTACAACGTCAAATACAGAAGAATGAGTAGAAGTCCTCTGGAGTTCTACGCTGCCGCGGGGCGATGAATAACCTTTGAAGAGACAACTGCCTAAATCGTTACTTCAAGCGAGGTTTGATGTTGGGAGTGGGGGACACTGGTTGCTTAGCCAGGAATACAAAAGTTTTGATAGGTGGTAAAACACGAATTTCTCTGAAAGCAGCTTGTTAACCTTGATCAGCTCAGAAAGCCAACGTGCTGGGAAACAATCCGGGTGAGTTCTTTTCCAGGAGAGGCTTTCGCGTACAAGTCTCACCCAACTGCTTCTCCCCAATTAATGCAGCCAGTCCTGGGGTGGAGGCTGCTTCTAATGACTTGAATAAGAATGTCAAGAAATGCATACTTAGTGCTCCTGCCCTAAGGGTAAATGATAGTTGGTCCTTGTAGGAAATTGAAGGAGAACATTTCTTTAGTGTTGCACTGTAAAATAAATCGCATATTGCGTTATCCAATTCCACGTTCGTTAAGCCAAGGGGCAAAACACATCAGGAAAATGAATGACTTTTAATATCAAAAATATAATTGTGATCCTTAAATCATTTTTCTCTGTAGTTAAGCACCCATTCTTGCCTATGATTTGCAGATAATAAGGAGGAGAAGAACCCATTTGAGGAAGCGCGCTGCCTTACCAGCCTCTAATTCTTCGGGTCCATCGTAGGACTTGTCAATCGCTGCTCGGAAGCTCTCGTTGCAGCCCCGGCCGCGGACCATGTGCGGTCGGGGCCTGTGGAAGGGAAGCTCGTTCTTCCTGACCTCAGCCACCGCAGTCTGCAGGCTCTCCAAGGAGCTGGACTTTTTCAAACCCAGAGTTGGACCAAAATCTTTGCTTGGAGATTCTGGAAAAAAAAAAGAGGTGGGGAGAGGCAAAAGGTCACTCTTCCCCTAAGGAGGCACTTGGGTGCAGTGGGAAGGCTTGTTGTTTTATCTCAAAAAGTTGGGGGTTATGTGGGTGGGACCTGGCATTAAATCCCAGCTTTGCTACTTTTTGTGACTTTGAGCAAGTACTTTGACTTCTCTGAGCCTTGGTTTCCTTTTCTATAAAGTTGTGGGAAGATTTAAAGTGATAATATACGTCGTATATAGAAATAAATATGCACGCGTATGCGTATGTACGCACACACACATATACATGGGTTTGAGAGGTTAGAGCAGTCTACAGAGATCAGAGGTATGTGTGTACATGCATGCGCGCACACACACAGAACACCTAACATAGTCGGCGCTTCTCTCACAGTCCCCATCCCCAGCACTCCCATACATTGTCACTTTCACTATTTTTACCATTGTTTTTAGAATTATTAAGTAACATACTATGCACAGAAATCAAAGAGCACGGAGGTGACCGTAATCCGTGTGGTTAAACACTACCTTGCTCTCGTGCTGTCACCGTATGATGAATGCAACTTACTTAGTCAATGGATAAATAAAGCAGAGCAAGAAAGAAAACAGCTTTTCTCTGTCAGTGAGTATTGTTCCAAAGGTATTTCTATTTCAATTTGGGTGTCTAGAAAAGGGGCCACTTTCTTTGTATGATACAAAATTCTAAAAAAGAAAAAAAACCTAAGTGAATTTTAATGATTTGTGCTCTGACATGTAGTATTTCCCATTGGCACTGTTCGTCTCAGCCTGTATCTGTCCTTTTTCACCCATGCCTTGCCCTCCTTACCCGCCCACAGCCAGGCTCCCAGTTGTCCATAACGGGATTAGGCTCTATAAACACCAGCAGCACAAGGCTCACTGTAAAGACAGAAGGAATTCCAGCAAGGCTCTTTTCCACCAGGGCCAAAGCTCATGATGCTCTCCAGTTACAAAGGAGGCTTCTGTTATGAAGGTGCTACACTTGCATTTCTGGAAATCAACCACTTTGCAGTTTCTCAATAGACACAGATTGAGTACAATGAGGATTATGTGCGTAAAGCACCTACTTGGATGCCCACCACCTTTTCTTACTCTGATCCCTATTTCTGCGTCTACTAATGCTGCCACCATGGCCATCATCACTGGCTGCTTAACAAAATACTAGGTAACACGAGGAATAAAAAGAAGTACAGCAAAGGTGTAATGCCTACATAGACACGTATAAAGTTAAAGCACAATACGCATCCTCCCGTATGTTGTGACTATGTTAAAATAGTCAAAATAATGACAATAATGCGAATAACTAACAATGCAGAGTGTTTATTTAGCCCTGTTCTAAGGGCTTTGTCTATATTAACCTACTGTAATTCTTATAGTTGTGTTCCTGACAATACTGTTTCCATTTTACAGGTGATGAAACTGAGGCACAGAGCAGTGAAATACCTGGTCTAAAGATACACACCTATTGAGCATCAGAATCAGGAACTGCCCCTGGGCAGCCTAACTCGGCCCCTTCTGCTCTGTATGGCCTAAAGTTGTACTTGGCCTCTGCCCTCTACTTGATTATGGTGAAGCAACTTAAAATGGCCTCTAGTGGTCCCCAGCTCTACAATAAGAGCATTAGTCTTGATTAGCCCTGAGCCTAGTCAAGCAGACAAAATGCAGAAACTTATTGTTGTTTTATAGTTTCATCATTAATTCACACGAGGCAACTCTGCACTTTGAACCATATCCATGATGACGATAAATACTGCATTTCATAAGCAAGAGTCTATCATCAATAAATGCAACAAAGAAGGGACTAAGCAAAAAAAAAAAGGTTATAAGAAATTTCAGGGATGAATTTCAGGTGCTACTTGCAAATCATACATAGGAAGAGTACACTGCTGCTAAATCCAGAAAGAGGCGTATTTCTTACAGTCCCAGGAAGAAAGGTGAGTGGGAGAAACAGAAACTGAATAAGATCATTTCTGACAAGAAAACAAAAAGCAACACAGAGGCTTGGGGGTATTAAAGCGCCAGTAAAAGCTTTGGAGTTTGCAGAAAATATTCTACACCATCAGCCCCTAGGGATCCGACATGAAGTTTGGAGAAAACAGGAGGATGAAAACTATCTGAGAAAGCCCAGCTCCTCTGTCAACAACAGTGCCCATCTTTTATTTATTAATTGCTATTCGGGAGATTATATTAGAGCCCAAACTGTAAGTATTCACATCAACCTTCAGCAGTAAATTCCAGGGAACATGAAAGTGAATGAATCATCCAAGGTACAAGGCGTGTTATCTAAGAGGAGTGCATCGAAAGCTCGGCAAGAAGTCATTTGTGAGAAGGAACAAATACACTGTTACTCATTCTGAGCAAAGTGAACGTTAAGGATTCATGGGTTTTGCAGGATTAATAGAGCCAGCAATTAATTCACTTTACATAAATAGAAGTCACAAATTAGACATGTCAACTAATGTTGGCCAAAATTATAACCTAGCTCTAGTGGATGTAGTGCATAGTAAAACTAAAAGCAAAAACGGCGAATGAGTCTTGGCTATAAATGTGGACTCAAGGATTTTCAGTCTTGAAAACAACATTCTTATTTATTTCTAGGGAGTAAACAGGACATACTAGTGGAAAAAAGACTGATGTTAGAGAGGAGAATCTGAAATCAGGTAAGTCCTTACGAGGACTTACAGGTGCACTAAACTGACTGAATTGAATCTCCAACTGAAAGGGACCTTGACTAGGGTTCACGTTTCCCTTGTATGTCCACAGCTTCTGAGAGAAGGTCAAGGTTACTGGTTACAAGGGATTAATATGTCAAATGATGGCATCAGCACTAAATTTCAGCAACACACTTGAAGTCAAGTCTTCTACTCTGTAAAGACTACATCGGGTACCATAAATTGTCACATTCAATCCCTCTTCCTTCTTCCCGCCCTCACCAATCCCAGCTTGGGTTGACACTGCATTGGAAATCCTGTAGCTTTCAGAATGGGAAGATTCACTGTCTATTTTTAGCCTAACCATTTACACAAATCATACTTTTTTTTTGGCTCCCACTAAAAGTAGAGGTCTCTTTGAAAGGGTAAGATAAATTGAGTAATTAATCAAAATCAAAACCTCCGTCACTCTATCCCACTGAAGTCATCCCAAAATATGATGATCCCTCACATTTGCGTCTGTAGCTGATGTGACATTGGCTGTGGCTGACTTTAAGCAATTGTTAGAGAGTGATCTCTGAATATCACGTGTTATCAGTCACGAGGTGGACTGTGTTCAAATTTGAGCATTTACTTGTCCCATTTTGAGTATGTACAGAAGTCATCTGAATATGACTTTTCAGTGATTTCCAGGCCAGTTTAAGTTACTTGCAAATGACAAGAAATAAATCTTTTTCCCTAACTTTAGTAGTAAGGCTTTACATTTTTAACTTGCGACTTCTACATTCAGTGACTATGTTCTCTAAGATCCAGATAAACTTATCTTTCCATCAGAAACATGTATCTGACATTCACAAATTTCTCGAAACAATGATACAATGGTTACCAAAGGTACTAAAAGAGGAAACTTACATGATAAAAGTTATTCTTAAAGTGGTCTAATAAAACTGTTCTTAAAAGTTCCAAGCGCCAAACTTTTCCTTAAAATAAAGGCCTCATAAAGAAACATCACTGGAATATTTTTTTTAAAGATGCTATAGCATTTCTGAAGATTTACCTGTTTCCAAGTGAAGGACTGGCTTGACTTGGTCCTGGAAGCCTTCCCCATACAGAGGAAAACTTTAGGGCCATGTTTTCTGGCTCCACCAATCCTCAGACACAGCCACTGCTCTCCACCATCCAGAAAAACAGTGTTACGAAAAGAATGAACACACACACCAAGGCTAAAGGTTCAAAGAAATTCTGCCACCACTTCTCCATGGGCATGAGAGAGGTGGTGAGAAGGGCAGCAGAGAGCCACTGGCAAAGTGGGGAGGGCCCTCTACAGGACAGTCTTAAAACAATGTGGAGCCATGGCCCCAGCCTTGTAGGTAGAAAGTCCCACTTCAACACAGTATAAAACAGAAAGTCCTTCCTGGAGGATTGTTTGGATGTGGACCTCAGTTCTGATTCAGTCTTGGATTCCCACTTCTGTCCTACGGCTGAGAACTGCTGGTGGTTCCCTGCAAGGCAGGTACTAAGGAGAACAGAGAGTAGCGATTAACAGTGATGAAGAGGAGAGGCTGCGGAACATCCCAGCACCCCCCACTCTGCCACTTCTTGTTCGTTCGTAACCCTCCTGTGCCTCAGTTTCCTAACCTGTAAAATTCGGAGAAGACAAGGACGGAAGAATGTTGGACACATAACAGGCACTCGTAAAGCAGTGGTGGTGAGTACTGTCACTGCTGCTTTTGCAGCAACTCCAAACATTTGAGTAAGTGAAGGTCTAGCATGATTCCTTGGGTTCAATCCACCACTGCATTTCTAAACACAGCCATTCCTTCTACAGGAAGCTGAAAAGAGCTTCATAAAGAAATACCATCCTTTCTTTTTTTATTCAAAAGAACTGATTTTCCCCAAATAATTCCTTACAATTTTTTTCTCTTGAAATAAGGCATATATATCCATCTGCTCATCGCATAGAGAGGCTCTTCTTGGGAAGATTAATAGTGGAGAAGTGGAGTCCTGGATACCCTTCCCCTTAGGCTATAATCATTTAATTAGTCTGAGATTTCATTGGCAATGTTTGAACTTCCCATTCTAGCATTAAAATCTTGCAATAAAAGAATGCCTTAATCCAGAAGACCAGTAATTGGATCCTCCATTATTGATGAAATTGCTTCCAATCCATTCTTATTAAAACATAAAGAATTATTTGGGGGAAGGTACTCACTCGCAGATACACGGAAACTTTTTCTCCCAGCTAGAGCTTTACAATTAGCAAATACTTATGATAAATTAACAATAAATAATGCATTAATTTGTGCATTTCAATAACATCAATGGCC